CATAAAAATATATTCAATGTCTAAGCCCCATAATCATGAATGATCTGCAAACAGGTTAAAATAATGTTTATTTAATGTTTATCATCAGAAACTAAGAGACATCAACAACATGATAAGGTTAGGGTCTGGGGAAAGTCGKAAGAGAGCTCTYCTTCAAGATGATCAAAGTAGCAGTCCATCTAAACGCTCACCAAGCGACGACCACCTGCAGMGAAAGCTGACTAGTATGATAGAAGAGAGAAACAGCGCTAATTCAAGATGATATATCAATCTGAAATTCAATGCAATCTTTTGCAATGCATCGTTGTAGTATGCACGTAATTAAGTTAGAAATTGCCGTTTTTGTGCAAATGGAAGATAGAATAGTTAARTATAAGCAAGGAAAGACTTTCTTGTACRTCTGTGCAACACTRAAATACCCACTTTTCTTTGGAAAGAAACTGATTTTTAATATTTAGTGCAGATAGAAGAGTTTGTTTTCTAGAGGAATTGCACAGAACAGTGATATTTCYTGCAAATTTGTACTTCACTAAAATGAACTCAATCTTAAACAGCTCAGATTTCTTGATAAACCAGATACGATGCTCTATGTCTTTGTCAAAGCTACTATCATGAATTCTAAATTAAGGTTAAGATTTTTACTAAATTCTATCCACAACTGATAGGCAGGGTTCAGTATAACAATTATAATTATCAGATTGTTACTTTTTAGTTTTTACTTTTAAAATTGTAAGTGAAGAGTGGGTAGCAGTTCAAGTGATTAAATCCATATTCTCCTAAAAAAAGAATGTTTTTAGAGGAGAATTAAAGTTTTGATCAGAAKTGGAAAACGTACATTCTTGCATACAGCTTTGAGGCCATTATAAGAAATGATTAATGCAGGGATATAATATGAGGCAAAGACATTGAAAAGTTATGATATCCCAAATGTCTTTCTACAAACATGAATGGGATATTTTGATCAGTTATTGATAAGGCACAAATATTATATCAAAATGAATTTGCAGAAACAAAACTGGACCTTACAKTGTGATGGTAATGACAAAGTAATTCCCATAATTAGCAATCATAATGACCTATTGATGCCATCCTTGGTGGGTGTTTTGTTAATTGATTGTAGATCACAGTGTCACTGTAGTGATATTTAGCATGTAAAATACACCMGTTTCAAATATTAAATTGTTCAAAAGATTTATTGGCTGTTTGTTTGGGTGAGCAACTACATGGTAATGTCCCAGCAATCTATAGGTTGAAATTTACAATTGTTGGGAAGAGATTTTACTAAACTATTTTATTACTATAACACATCATAATGACTAAGGATCTTTTGCATACTACAACACCCAGGGGTCCTACATTTACACACACCCTATGCAGAACTTTAAAACTAACTTTCCCAAACCTGTCATGAAATATTGAATTACATTTTATGCCCCTTTTTAATTTGTTCTGCTTTTTTCAGACTAAAATGACCYGCAAATCACAACTATGCCATTTGTCCCACATACACCCAGTTCTCAGGTTTTCTAGATTTTAAAAATTTCATATAATTTTAAATGTGCCATGTTTTTTAACTGGCATAAAAGTAAGGTCCTCCAACAGCAGTCCCAACACCTCAAGATTAAGATACACAATTTAAACAGTATCCAACAGCTAGAGGACAATACAAAAGTTATGTGCCACTTAAATTCGTTTTGAATTTCGTTTTGAAGTACTTTCTGTATATATATTTAGCAACTTCAACACTATCTCCCTTTGCAATTGAAGGATACGTTTCATTACCATGYGTCCAGGCAGATTCCTGGACAAACAACTTTGCATTGAATGCATTGAAATCAAAGGGCTTTCCTTGTGCAACTGCGGTGACGATTTCCTCAACAAAAAGCTCCCACCTTGGCTTATAGTACGCTCCAACTAGTCCACTCCACTGCTTGTTTGCATAATCATTGATATTACCTGCCGGTCCCCAAAGGGTTATTTGATTACGGGCATTATACTCATACAACTTGACTTCCTCTGGTGTAGTACCTAGAGACTTGGCAGACTCRAGCCACTTGCCCAACAAGAAATGTTCATTGGTCATGAGCATTTCGTCCAGATCAGCCAAGATATTTACTAGTTTAGCACMACTCATGATAAGAGCTGTTTTGTCTTTGGCATTGTATGCTTCTATGATTTCMTTATAGAATTTGATTGTCATGAGATGCATGGCTTCTCTTACAACATCTACCAAGTCATACCTGTAAGTCAATCACAGCATCAATCTATTTACAAGCTAAAAGCCTTTACCCTCTCCCTGACGAAAATATTGGAGGATCATCTCTGATTGATCCTGCAACATTCAATTCATCCATGATGCAATTGACCAATCAACCACAATCCATGCCATGAATGGTCAATGATGCAGCCAAAAATCATGAGTATGTTTTTCCATAAAGTATTGASTATTCTTAAAATTCCAGCTCAGGTGGAAACAGCCTCATATCTATGTGTAAATTGATTTTCTATTCTAGGGCTATACTGGAATTATAAGAATAGTCAATATAGTTAGTGTAAATTGTATGTGATAATGGAGATTCTAATTTTCTCTGGAGTGCATCTTGTTGCATGCTTGACATATCTAGAACTTTATCTTATAWAACTTATTGTAGACAACAAACAAGAAGAGCATACCTAAATGTCTCAATGTGGCTAAACTCATCAGCAACGGCTACAAATATATCAAAAGCCTGTAAAAGATCCTCTTGGTCAAACCATACATGTGGTACAATATTGAGTGATGGAACTGCTGTGATAACGGTGACTCGAAGATTATTTCTTCCATCAGTGCAATTATAAACRCTCTTGGTCAAATAACGCCAAGCTTTGACAATRGAGTCATCCACTGTGCCATAGCGTCGTGCAGCATAAGATTCAACCCAGTTCTGGATTTGTGTTGTKGTTAGAGTCTGKTTTATCCATGTGCCCATTTCATTCATYAAGTCATAAATCATGTCATTTTGGTTGATGCCTTCGGGAGTCAAGCCTGTGCCAATCATTGTACTTCCTTTTGTGTTATTAGCCACAATCGGATCTGAAAGAGATTGTGTAAAGTCTTACTTATTAAGATGATGAACTTTGCAAAAAAGAATACATAGCATATTTTTGTGAAAAAGATATGATTGCAGAAGATCACATAAAACAGTACCAAACCAAATTAATATTGGTTGCTGTTAAGGTGTTATTTACAAAACCTCACTTACTGGTTGTAATGCTTTCAATAGTTCCATACAAGCCAAGATTTCCCCCAAAGTTGTGCAGCATACACCAAATGAATGGCTGACCATAGAAAGACTCTGTACGRCTCCACACTGGTGCTGTCTCYGCCATCAGGTCAAGGATWATCATCTTACCTTGTGGAACACCTTGTTAAAAGTGCAAAAAATATTGTTAAYACTTTGCAGACCAAGAGAAAGRAGAGTGAASTGSACAGAGGCATGAAGATTTGAATGCAAGSCATATACCACAAGAGCTAATATTCTGGCAAAATCGTAGATAAAATGTTTCTCTTCATTTTCTATCTTTTACATCTTCCTCTTTCTCTTTTCTATCTTTCAATAGCTCTCGTTAACTGGTCCTAAGTATTTTATTATTATCATGTTATCATGGATAACGTGATAATAATATAAGTAAATTATGGAGGAATTAAGAAACATACCTTGTAACAGAGCTTTGATTTGAGGAGGCTTCCARAAATTCCCATCCAAGAAAAGCCAGCCTTGCATCAACCAAATAGCRTCAGCATCTCCAGCTAGCATGCCCTCATACACAGCTTTGCTTGCTGATGATAAGTACTTAGTATCATTTGATCTTGGTCTCATTTCATTGAAAGTGTCAGCATTGTAAATATGGTTGGTACCAAACTCTTCAGTTTGTGCCTTAATGAAATCTCCACCAATTTGCTTTTCATAAAATTACATGTAATCAGATTTAGACAAATAATATTATAAACCTACTCTACATCTCCATAAAGAGGCACTTATAAACAGCTGGCCAATCAAGATTAATTTCATCAACTCAAAAATTTGTTAATTAATGTAGCAATCACTTTAATTAAAATACCTTGAATAATGGATCACTAGGATCAAGCAGATAGGTACAGCAATATGTTGCATTAAAGTGACCCCAATCACCGAGCTGTGACACATTTGCCTTGGGATATATCCTGGTCAGTCCTTTTGGAACATGACCTGCAAATCCAGGCAGAACTGGTGTCATTCCAATGTTTCTCATTGCTGTTAGAATCTTGTGCTGGAGACTTAGTTGTGATTTGTACCATGATTCCGGAAGGGGTCCACCCCATCCATGCATGTTACCCATTCTTGCCCTGTGCAAGAAAATGGGAAAATATAAATTGATAAAATCAGGAGAAATAGAACAAGATCAGTTTGAAGCACATATTTTAGTTTATTTTTTTTCGATCTGGTATCCTAGTCATCCACGCGCTGTGATTGGCTAGCGCGCGGTCCGGTTTTTCATGATCTGCCCGATCCGACAGTATCCTGCACCTAGGCTGCAAGCAAAGTTGCATAAAATACAAATAAAAAATGTTATTAAATGTTATTATAAAAATGTTATTTACCGGCTATAGGTCGGTCCTTATACGCGAGGTCCGTACATAAAAGACCRAGGGCAGTGTTTTCCTATACGGACTTCACAGCCGGTAAATAACATATATGTATCCTTACCAAGCCAAAAATGCTGGTCCACCAAAGTGTGAGTCCAGTTCCTCCTGTTTAAGACCCATTTTCAGGTACACATTTTGCCATATTGCCTCTTGTCCAGTAAAAGCTAGGGGTAAATTAATACCATTTAAAGCCATCCAGTCAATCTCACGCTGCCACCGTGTCCAGTTCCACCATACAAAGGAGTAACTTGAGGTGCAAACATTTTGATAATACCTGAACCTAAGGATCAAAAACAATAACAAAAAAAAAACAATCAGTACTAGATAATACATGGGCGTATCCAGGATATTGGGGGGTCCTAACATACCAAATCGTTACTGTGACGTCATATGATGTGACATGACGTAATAATAATCTATGTTTTTCATGCTTTTTTGGTGGCTTTGAAAGGGGAGGGGGGGATGTCACGGGCACCCTGTGACCCCCCTGGATATGCCCCCCCCCCCCTGGATACGCCCCTCTAATACTACAGACTGATATATTTCTGGTGAAAACTCAAGGGTCCTTCTAGCTATACCAAAGATGCAAAGTGTCTTAGGATAGTCCAAAGATGCAAAGTGTCTTAGGATAGGTTAGTGCAATATTGTCGTGTTATGCACGTAAATGTGTGAAATTTGTCAAATTCCCTGGGGACTTTTATAAGTCGCGCGCACGAGATTTTATATATTTTTGAAAATCTAACCTACCTGTTGTTCGCAACTATTGACACTACATTTCCCACTGAAGGAAATGGATTGGGAATCTTCAGCTGGTCTCCACTCCAAGAAATATGAGCCATGCAAAAGTATTTCAAGAAATGATTGATACCCATAGCGCATGCTACGCCACTAGTACAGTTAATGGATAGCTTTGATTCAATAGTAACATATTTAAACTTGTCTAAATTGGATCCAAGGCCCATGTTCGGATCAACTTTGATGATAAAATTGTTTTYGTAATCTGGGAGAAGTCGTGCAACCAAGTCATGGACAGCTTGTTGCTGAGTTGCTGGACTTGCATAGCTTTTGATGTGGGCGAACTGTTTGAATCGATGTTCGTAGTCTTTGAAAGCGTCAGAATAAAAACAGACGTGCAAGAGAAAGATGGTTATTGATATCTTGAACGCCATTTCTTGTCCTTCAGAAATTATAGGTCAATGCATGATCCCATGACAAAAGCGTGCACTCCGCACTCATCACTCAGTATGATACACAGGGCTCCCGTAAGTCGTGCCAGAAAAATAMCCTGCCGGCCCAACGTCSTTTTTCTTCCACTTCTTCACGAAGGAAAGGAAAAACTGTCAGTAGAATAAACGTAGAGCGTATAAAATAGTGCCAAATAGCRCAAAAAGGTGTTGATAAGACATAAATAACAAAGGAATGATTCAGTTGTMCTTGTCACTAATTTTTAAAATCATACTTTTTAAGTGTTCCCATCTCTTGTATCACAAGGGGGAAATCAGGCAACTAGCCTGTGTTCAGCCGAACCAAAACTGTCGTGTAACACAGGCTATTCAACAACAAACAAAACAAATTTATAAAATAAAATAAAAGAGAAGAGTTACATTTTTTTCTGCTATATATGAACCTTTTAAATTCTACATTGCAATCATAATGTACAATCATCATAGAAACAGCAATATTTTCTTTTTACCACAGATATTTTAATGGCATAGTAATATGATTATATTTACAGAGGATAATTGGTACTTTGTAGTGAAATAAAAGTTATAATCTGAAATTAAAGCCATTTCACTTACTATTAAATATTTGTGAAATAGAATGATTCCATAAGTCATATCTTTCACTCCTCAATTTATGTACCAACTTATGTAATTAGTTTAGGCATAGTACTAACTCTGGTCTAGATTTTCCATGACAAAAAATATAGGCTTGTTCTAGTCAATATGTAAAATGAAAAATAGCAGACCAATTTAAATAACAATACAAAAGAATTTTGCATTTTATGAAAAGTTTTATTCATTTCAGAAAAAAATGTTATTTTAATTGGTCCACCTTTCTTTAAGTCTAGAGAAAAATAATCAATAAACTTATGAGCCTGGCTATGYCTTTGTAGATGATGGAAAATCACTCTAACAAAAACTACTTGTTGATGACAATATTCATTTCTATTCACAGAATATAAGTGTCTGYATTCTAAAACGCTTCAACCCCAATWTTTTTAGATTTTCATTAAAAATTGTATATAATTTTTCTTGATTTTTTTAATTGTATCCTGTGCAACTTACAATTATGTTCAGCAACAAATAAACTTATTTTCAAAACATATCAACTGAAAATRCTTCATAAGAAACACTAGATGTTTGTTATCATGAAATATTATACCATCCATGAGATATCATCCATGTCAGTTTCCTATGAGAAATGAGAAAGTCCACTGATGAAAAAAAGATCAAATTGCCACATGAAAGCAAGCTGCACAAAACAGATCCATTGCTAACCCTGAATTACAATAACCATATGTATTATTTCGTTGAATTCACATTTCCATCTGATAGACTCAGAAWATTGGGATATAGTTGTCAATCTTTGACTTGTTCTTTTGAGCAATACATTCTGCAATCCATACWATGTTTCTGCTCTCTTGTTCTTTCAGCTTCACATAAGCATAAAACACACCAAAATGAAACTGTTGCATAAAAGCCAGCTTGTTCAGCTTGACCTGGAATGGGAAACCATGAAATCAATAAATTGAACTGTTGTAAAATCACATAACCACACTAAAGGAGCCATAACCTGATCATAGTGGGGTGATTTGAGTGTCACCATGACTACTGGAGTTGTAAACTCCTGGTAAGGCCACCCAAGCCAGACAGGTCAAAGGTTAGAAACCTGATGAGGAGTGATCCCCTAGTGCTCCAGTATGGGTTACTTATTTACAGAAACCAACCAAAATTACATCAATGTTATCAGTGAAATTTTGAGAAGCATACCTCATGTTCAAAAAATTTGTCCTCCAGTGTTTTTTCACCTGGCCCAGTCCCTGCTCCATCAAACAGTTGACGATAATCCTTTTATCAAGAAAAACGTAATTAGTAATGAAGGGCCACAAACAACCACAATGCAGTGCAGTCAAGGTTAGACTGTAGCCATATYAAATCCATATTCCATATCATCTCATCCTATTAAGGTCCTCCTAGTCTGGAAACCCTTCTGACTCAGCCAAACTCAATTCAATCAGCCACMCAACCTACAGTAATATAATCTCATAAATTAGAGCTCTCTTTTCAGGTTTGGGAGAGCACAGATTCCATCCACTAAAAATCACTGCCATCACAATTAGACAATAATATCATCCTAATTGCGAATGCCAACTCACTGAGTAATAATCAGCTACAGCCCTGACTTGATCGTACTCATCAGCTTTGGAAAGCCTTGCCAGTCCATCGGGATACAGATTTCCACAYTGTGGAAACAGCTTTTGACGTTCATCTTTACTAAGTTCTGTTCCAAATGAGTTTATTGTTATAATGAATGCCCTTCTGTCAGCCTCAAACTAGAAAAYAACACGAAAACTGTTAGATGTGATCATCATGGTAATAATGTATACATGAATTGGTTTTTACCTTCAAAATAGGACACATAACATCAGCTGTTGTACCACCAAGGTTTTCACAAAACTTGTAAAAACTTTCTAAGTAAGCCTTTAAAAATAAAAKAGAATATGTTCATAAAAAATGTGAAATCTTCAAAGAGCAATTTGTAATGCCTACCTTGTATAACGTATTCCTAATGATTTCAATATTCATCTCATCCAAGTCTTGTTCAGATATGCATTCAACAAAGAAGGGAGCTAGAAGATAAATGTACAGATAATATGGTTAGTTGTAGAGGTGAGGCAAATCTCATTGACAGCTGTCAGTCATGACACAAGTATCAGACAGTTGAAGTTTTCAAGAGTTATTATCATTGTGATAAAGCATGTTTAATACAAAATAGAAGTTGATGATTATGTAATGATTATTAATGATCATATCGTACCTAGAGGAGTGTCAATCATGACAGCATTATACAGGTCAGCAGGGGTTGAAGCAATGTTAATGGAAGCCATCTCCTCAAAACTTCCCAGTGGATGGCACTTGGGTATAAGTTCCTGTATTGGTCTCTGATGCAGGGTTCCAGTGATCAAAAGGATGATATTGTCTATCATGTAGCTAAACCTGGATGAACAAGGGAAAGTACCTAGTCAATGTCATGGAAACCACTATCCATCCTTTTTAAAGCCATTCTTTGTGTTTGTCTTTGTTATTAAGAGGCCAACCAGAAAACACTTTATTTTTATAACAAAACTAGCAAAAAAAGAACTGTGRCCATAGCTAAACAATGAGTCGGTTGAAAAACAAAGTACCACTCTAAAACAGAGCTGTGTTGTTCAAAGCTCAAATAATGCTTAACCCTGGATTAACAATAATTGGGCTTCAAACAACTCAGTCTGAGCTCAATCATGTACACTGCTCACGTGATAAAATCCATGAATGCTGCAAGAGGCTCTAATGCTTGGTTTCTCAAATGTTTGAATTCCTCAACTAGTCTTTCTCGCAGCTTGTCATCAATGACTGATACTGACAATGGGCTGGCTTCATTCTGTAAGAAGTTTCCATAATCTGTGCTTTGTAGATGTAGTTTTAAGTCTGTGAAACAAGACGTTATAAGARGATATTTTAGAAAAACAATTTCTACTCTGGAGGGGAAATAGTCAAATGACATCATTGCTTGAATAACATTGTATAATTCCACATTATTTTCTAGCTTATATCACCGTGAACACCAACATTTGATTAAMTCAAAACAAAAATATCACTTATGGATTTCAAATATCGGCTTTTTTTCCTTATACGACAAAAACCCAGGGATCGGAGTTTTGAAGGAATTTTTTTATCTTCMATTTCTCYAAGCTTTTACGAACCTTCCAGAGTCTCGCACTGAGCCAAATTCAAGTAGTCGCTCTGTGATAAAATGCCAGATCTAAAGCCACGAACAAGTCCTTCAAGATACCCCGAGTCTACATTAAAGAAGAGCTCGTCAAATGCCATCATTGTCGACTCAGCCATTTTGGCTTCTCTTCCCTTTGATTCAAGATGGCGGACTTAAACTCTCGSACCAGACCCCTAATAGGCGCGATTGTCACATGACTKTCACTTATTGGCGCAGCTCAAAGATTGAGCGAAACATGAAAAGAGTAGAAAATAGGTTCGAAATATCAAAGACTCACTTGATATTCGACATATTCACTTGTTCCGTCATGATAGCCATTTCTGTAGTAATAGTAATGGAAAAGAAAAGAGAATATAAAAAAAGACTGAAAACGACCGCACTAGGACTCGAACCCTCGACAAACAAATCGAAAAAGATTGGGACGATTCCCCCGAGACATTCTGTGAAGCTGAGGCGTCGAATCGAGTTACAWTACGGTTAGAGATTTCGGCTCTTCCATGCTATCCCGATAATTGGTCCTAACTTCGCGCTAACTAAAAAGCCAGTGAGGGAGAAGCTATCCGGCCCCTAGACTGTGATGGATAACCCCTTGCACTAACTAGGCAACTATCGAAAGTATAATGTCAAATTGGGGTAGTCTATTCGGTGAAAGTGTCAAGTGGTCTATTATTATGTAAATGAGTGTGGTACTGTGGCGCGACTTGTTAAGGCGCTGTTAGTATAGCCAACCGCTCCGTGGTTCGAATCCTCGGTTCAGGCTCATATAAACTTCATACTTTTTTTTTTGTTTTATTTAGTTTGAATTTTTTTCTTTTTCTTTTCTTTTCTTTTTTCATTTTCAATTTTTTGAAGCAAACATTCTAGAACTCCTTTCCAGTGAATGCTTCCTTTTTCTAGTGTCACTTCTTTTGAAAAAGTGGGTTCCCTGTGCCTTCTCCTTCATATGCTGCGACCTGGATGTTGTTGAATGACAGTAGAGACATTGTCAAATTCATATTGAAATGAAGCACCGTACCTACAAAAACACTCTCTCTCCGTCTAAGAAAGTTARATTAAAGTTATAAATTAGATATCGCAAAGAAATATGCATAATTAAGAAAAGAGATGCGCACAAAGACCGGAAGGGACTAGGTCGAGAAGAAGCGCGGGAAAAATCGAAGAAACAAAATGGCGTCAAGTTGACAAATTTTTCCTCTCTAAACTTCAAGCAATTTCGTGCCATCGACGGTATGTTGAGTGTTTTATAGGTACCAAAGTGTTCTCAACTCTTTTTTGTCCTTAATCAGGTTTCTCAGCACCCGAAGAACTCCCAAATAATTTGATTTTGACATATCCATCTAGTGAAGTTGCATCGATTGAATCCATTTTGTAGAGATGGATCCTGGTGAAATAGAGTTTCTTGCCGAGAAGGAGCATGTCACAATCTTACCCAACTTCACAGAGAAAAAGATCTTTCTTATAGGGGTAAGATATGTGTGATTTTATTTGATTTTAGCAATTTAGCATAATTAATTTTGATTCTTGATTTAAATTAATTYATTTATGTGCATAAATTAATTTGTACAGGGTGACATAGGGCCCTTCAATGCCTCATTACCSGTTGATGTACCACTATGGATTGCAATCAACCTTAAACAAAGAAAGAAGTGTAGAATCCAAGCACCAGATTGGATGGAAATAGGTGAGAAACCATGAAGYCTTGCCTTTTTCATTGGATCAAGAGGGTGGAGCAGAGCTTTAAATAGAAACACAGGGCTTATRAAAGTTTTTTCTCATTATTAGCATCTCAACAACAAAAAAGTAATAAAATTAACACTGACAGCAGGGTTTGAAAATCCAACAAAGACTTTTTTTGAAGAATATTGCATCATCCCACACAAACAATTGTCCATACTGAAATCTGCAAACCCATAGGTTCCCTCATTGAGCAAATATATCAGATCTGTAAGGTAACTAATAGTATCACTCTTTGAGGTGAAGGTTTAAGAAAAAAAAAACATACCTATGCATATTATAGTGTAYGATATAGCTAAACTATGTCATTTATCCAGCCATGAACTGTATTCTATATACATAGTCTTTCAAAATGCGGATTTGAAATCATTTGAACTTTACTTTTTTGAAGATAAACTAAAAGAGCTTAAGGAGGAAGAAACCAAAGAAGAATATTTCATTCGCATGCCATCCAACTTCTACATGGAAATAGCAACCTTGTTACTWAACTGGTAAMTAATGAATGATGGCCTCATATCATATGACAATAACCAGATTACTATACCCACCACCTTTTATTAAAATCATTTTGCAGTGCAACTGATGACATTCCACATGCTGATGAAGTAAGAACGCTGATAAAAGATATCTGGGATATCAGAATTGCCAAACTAAGAAAGTCCATTGATTTGATGATCAGCCAACAAGCTGTGCATGCCAGAGTATGTATTTATTTTGATAGTTTTGTTGTTGTTGTTGCTGATAAAAAGAAACACTAGCCAGGTCTATTCTTCTCTTATTTATATGAACCAAGCACTTGATAGAAATATTGCTGGYTGTTCATTTGCAAAAGAATTTTCATGTTATTCTTCACCAATGTCTGTTGATCTTTGTTTGGTTAGCAGCGCTTTGTTAGTAAACTTTAACTAAGTGTTGTAAGAGAGAGACACACAYTGTGTGGGTCTTTCTACGTGTTCTTTTTAGGCTTCTTCACTTTTTATGGTCTTGTTTCTGTTGAATTACTTAGCCCAGGAAGTCACGAAGGTACCAGTAAATGTAAGTTTTTGGTTTTTCTTTTTAGCTTGATGATTTAACACTAATGGAGATTAATACAGTTCGCCTACTTCTTACCAAGTCTCTTGACCATCTCCACACTCTCCGATGCCATGCAGCAGAGAACCCACCAACAGAGTCATGACAGATGACTACAGTAAATGCATCAAGGAAAGATGTACTAACAGTATACCAGCCAAAATACAAGAGAAAATTGGTGAATATCTCGACCACAGAAGACCCTTCTACAGAACTATCTCTTTTTATAAACATATTCTGTTTCAAAACTGTTCTGTCTTCATGAGTTGTCAAAAGTACATAAACATAATGTATGGTTTTGTCCTTGTATTGCAGAATATAATAATTTAATTGACTTATACTATATTGTAGCATTGTGGAATTGATAAGAAAAAAAAACTACTGTAAAAAAGAGATGTGAAAGTGGTTGCATCTACTGACAGCAGATTTCATATAACTGTGTGATGTGCAATGATAYAGTTWTAGTWCAGGGCATTGATGACACCATATAAATTAGAATTTAGTTGAGAAAAGATCACAGCCAAAACACACACCCATATGAAAACTGCYGTACTTTAAATTATAAAATTTTCGATATATAAAGCGCGCTTTGATTGGCTGATGACCGTGTTTATATCAGAGGACAGAGACACAGCTTACCGGCAAAATTTGCTTTTCGCTCGAAAAATTTTATAAAAGAAATATAAAACGACCGCTTGTGTCTCTGTCCTCTGATATAAACACRGTGGGAGTTCGAAAAACACTCGAGAAGCAGCTTGCTTCTCTTGTGTTTTTCGAACTCCCGCCGTGTTTATGTCAGAGGACAGAGACACGCGTGTGGTTTTATATTTCTTAAACAGTGAACAGCACAATGTAAATAGATGGTATTTTTAATACTTTGATAATATCACCAATACTCACAATAATAAACATTAAAAACATGCTAAAAATATATGTACCTGGGATAGTTATTAAATATTATTATAATTTAATTTTTAAATATTCATTAAATTCATCATTTTCACCATGGATGTCAGTAAAAGGGGATTGCTAGCTAATCAATACACTATTTTACCTATATAGATCTAAAAGTATTTTGAATAACGTTATGAAAGTTTTTTCTGTTGATAAAAGCAAAGAACTGAAATATAAGAAATACAGGATTCAATTTGAATCCTTGGCATTAGAAATAAAATAGCTTTAAGCCTTATATAATTTCTGCTATCTCTTAAAGCTTTGCATAAAATAGTGTAATCTGTCTAGGTTCTCTCGACATGCTTTCTTTTCGTCATGGAGGTGCTTCTTGGCTTGTACAAGATTCTGAAACCAAAGCAYATAATCTGTTAGACAAATAGACTAATACTATGAATAAAAAATAAGATAAAAGAACAGAATGAGGGTTAATACCTACCGTCATTTGTGTGCTAAGGTTATTTGCCTCTTCGTTTAGTGATGCATGCTGTGATTTCAGCAAATCRGCATTTTCTCTTAGAAAATTCACCTCGTGATCGCGGTCTGCATTCAAAAAGAAATAAACAACAATAAGTCAACAATGCTGACCAATCATTCACCTGTTGCTTGGCTACAATATTGACTTTGTGCCTTGTTTATTATCCATAAATTGACTGTTGATCATAGCTAGAACAATGAAGTGCAGAATGAAAGCATCTGAACTGACCTCCCGAATGAAGAAAGTATGATTTCATGACACTCTCAACCCCAGGCCATCTATAYTCATGCTCTCTTCTCCCTGATAGAGGAGGTCTTGAAACTAGATCCTACAGAATAAAAGACAATCAATTCAATCATTGACTCATTGACTAATCATGGTTCAACAATTAGTTTTCATTTCATTCCCAAATGTCAAGTGCCATTCTCACTCAAAGTACTAGAATGTTTCATTTTTCATTCCATTACTGGAACTCATTCAGCCATCCAACAAGTTGAAAACATTCAACATACCTTTTTATCAATATCTACATCACGAGGTCTTGAATGAACRGGTATCATTTTATCAAAACTGCTGCCTTGCTGGCTTTGTAACAATCCAAAATGTCTACTAAAGTCACGATGTATATTAGGAGAACCTTGATGCGCAAAATAATCCCTTGTCTCTTGTTCACTTAAAGATAATCCTGTACTATGAACAGGTTCTGGACGTAATGGCTGACCTAACGGCGGACGAACAGCATCTTGAGACACAGATAATAGTCCAGTATGTCGTAGATAAGGTGGTCGAAATGTAGGTGTATTATAACTATTAAAGGGGTCCTCCATGTTGGTTAGTGACTGTAGTGTTAAACGAGGTGGTGGTCGATTGGATAACTGTTCTGAAGGGCTTGTATTCTGACGCCCTTGACTATTATTTTTGTATTTATTTTCTTGTGTGAATGGATAAGGTGATGTTGATTCATCAGGTGCCTCTTTCTTAATTTTAACTGTTTCTTTGTTCACTTCACCATTTTCTTCTCTCTTTTCCTTTTTGTCATTTTGTTTTAGTCCTTGTTCCATTAGAAGTTGTTGTTTTTGGCGAGTCATAGGGCCACCAATATTCTCAGCATCWATTGGTGTGTGCCCATTTTCTGTATCATTTCCCTGTACAAAAAAAAACAATTTAATGTTAAAACACTTGATTATCTATCACTACAAA